TCCGTTACTTCATGAAGGTTGACCTCGACCAAATCGGCGTCGAGTTCTTCCGGAAGAAGCTTGTTGTTCCTGCCCATCCAGGCCGAGTACGCAACAGGGTTCGCCGCACCATGACCTACCACAATGAAGGACAAGACCCAGAAGGTAGCAGCTTCAGTGTTCGAGGCAAACCTATCTTACTCCAACCCCCCGCTCGTGACGACGGCTCAGACTTGGACTCGGATGACAATGACAACCCAAACAACCTTGCTGAACCCGCACAGCCTGTCGACATTGCCCTTACAGCCCTCTGGCGTCAATTCCTCCTTGACATCACCCTGAAGGCTCCGAATATAAAGAGCGCCAGGTCTCCGCCCTACTGCCGACTTTCCTCCTCTGAGCGCCTGCTTGTTAATGCCCAGACCTATATGGACCCCAATCTCGCCAGCTACTTCCTCGCCTGCCAATGGAAGGTTGCGACCGACGAATCTTGGAATCGCATCTTCTATAACCTTTTCCCCGACGAGAAGGATGTTCGTGCTGGCAATGTGCAGAACTACGAGCAAACCAACTACTTTCCTACCTGGGCAAGGCTCATGGCGCAGGCTGAATCCTCCAGCGACATCAAGAAGATGCGTAAGCTCCTGAAGGAGAAATTTGACACTCTGTACTGGATGCCTCATGCTCAGAAGGACCGTATATGGAGGACATCAACCGATGCCAACTTCAAACGTCTCGGGGAAATTGTGGGCACTGCTGGGCCGCAGATTCTCATCAGGGGCAACACCCCAACGTGGCGCATCGGCCCCCCCGTTGAAGGGGATTCCGACGACGACGAGTAAGGTGCCATCTTTGCTTTCAATCCCCATGTAATGCCTTTGTTGTTTCGTGAAAATATACATCTTATTCGCTATGGTTTATCTTATTGTTAATTAGCAAGAAGTTCTATACGACGGCCTCCTCTTCGACCGCCTGTCCCTACCTACTATGCTCAACCGCCACCCTTCCGGCCACGGGTACCGCCGCAAATGCCGCCTTACTCCCAACCTCCCCCGGTCACCAAGACAGAATCCTCCGATGGAACCATCAGTGTCGCACCACCTGTGATCGCCCATGATGACATCGCAAATCTATTTTCAAGCCTTGTGAGTGCCGACCTAATCTCTGCAAGCACGACATATTAACGTCTTCCGACGTCATTCTTCAAAGATGCCAGAGGATCCCCTCGCATGGAATGTCGTCTCCGTACATTTCAGCTACCTTGTGGGTAAGTCTTCTGCCTGTATTGGTCGTGTACATCAAGCCTCGCGTCGCCTCTAACCTCCGCCCTTCTGCCCGTTGGCGTCCTCGTGCCAGGGTATGCTCAGGCACAGAGCGATTCGATGAAGAGGGTGGAATTTTTAGCCGTTAGCGATGTCCCGTCTTCGTTCTACAGAGGGCCAGAGGTGAGTTTCAGTCCGTGTCGCTTCCGGATCTGTCCTAACATCCTCCAACCGCTTTCCTCAAAGCTTCTACCGTGATGCCAGAGGGTCCTCTGGCATCGGTCGGTCGTCTTCGTGGATTTTGAGCGGCGTAGCTGCTCGCATACTCCGTGTTTCGCAGACGAACACTTGGAGCGCTGAGTCCGTTCTGTTTCCTTGTATTGTTGCTCATTCCATTGATTCCTCCAGCCCCGGTGCCGTCTTCTGTCATGCCAGAGGACTCTCTTGCATGGAACTTCGTCTCCGTGGATTTCGAGCGGCGTGGCTGCTCACATATGCTGCCCTCCACAAACGAGCACTTGCAACGGTGAGTCCGTTCCGTTTCCATTTCTCGTTCCGTTGCTCATCCGATCCCATTCATCCAGCCCCAACGTCGTCTTTCATCATGCCAGAGGACCCTCTGGCATGGAACTTCGTCACCGTACATTTCGAGCGGCGTAGCTGCTCGCATACGCTACCCTTCGCAAACAAACACTTGCAACGGTGAGTGCGTTCCGTTTCCGTTTCTCGTTGCTCATTCCATCAACTCCTCCAGCCCCGACATTGCTTTGCTTTCCTCATATTCCTGATCTTCTACACGTCGCCTCTCACCTCCGCCCTTCTGCACGTCGGTTCCCTCGTGCCAGGGCATGCTCGATGGAGCGATTCGACACACAGGGCGGAATTTTAGCCCTTAGAGATGTCCCGTCTTCGTCCTACAGAGGGCCAGAAGTGAGTTTTAGTTCGTTCGCTTCCGCATCTGTCCTAACATCCTCCAACCGCTTTCCTCGAAGCTTCTACCGCGTGCCAGAGGATCCTCTGGCATCGGACGTGGTCTTCGTGGATTTCGAGCAGCATAGCTGCTCGCATACTCCGTGTTTTGCACACGAGAGCTCGGAACGGTGAGTCCGTTCCGTTTCCGTTTCTCGTTACTCATTCCATCGATCCCTCCAGCCCCGACACCCCCTTTCATCATGCCAGAGCATGCTCGGGCACAGAGTAGTCGAGCGCATATAATTCGAGTAGCTACGCCGCTCGTATCCATTCACGTACAGTCATCTTTGTCTGCTTGTTCATGGGATATCAGAGGGTTTATAACCTATGTTACATAAATACATTGTACGGTGTCTTTATTCCCTGCCAGAATAGAGGGCAATGAGCATAGAAGGCGTGAGCAACTAAGCCACTCATCTATTCAAGAATTTTGTCTCACTGTGCATGAATATATTTTTGGATTTCAGGGGTGTAGAGACGTAGGTAGGCATGAGTGGCTTATCCGCTCGCATACAGACTGATGGCACTATCCAAATATCTCCCATCCCTACTCAATCCTACCTGCCATCCCTACTCAATCCTACCTGCCATCCCTACTCAATCCTATGTCCCAGCCCTACCCACAACAGGTTTCCAAACCTACTCGAAACCTATGTCCCAAACAAAAGTCCCCATAACCCTAAGTCAGTCTCCATCTGCTGCCCCGTCTTATGAGCCTCTGGTGCGTCTGCTATTTGAGGCGAATAATCTCCTTCCGCTCACTCGAAACACATTCGTCCTGTCTCCAAGTGCCTGCTGCTGTGCTTCCAGCACCCATTCTGGCCTTTCCCTCCCAGGCAACTCTGACAGCACTCGTCATCTATGTGCGCATCGCACTTCATTTCCCTTATCTGCCCCTTCAATGCGCATCTCCTGGCTTCGTTAGCACAGGCGCCTGGATCCGGTCATCTGCTAGGTTTTCGTCTTTATTGTCCTGTCCCCACCTGTGACTACTTTCTAGGTTTCCCTCCCCAACATTTCGGGTCGGATTTTCGCTTTCAGGCATGACAGGGATGTGCGCCGGGCTGTTGATGTTCCGCCTGTGGCATTCCATTGCCAATCGGACTTTGCTCGGCCTCTGTGTGACGAGTATTCGCGGCGAGGACAGCACACAGCACTCGCGCTGATCTTGGGCGTGATTCTCTGCTTGGGGGATGTATCTCGTGTGGATGTTGGTTCGTTTCGTATTCTCTGTGTTGGCTTTCTTTCGTTCGCATGCCTGAGTCTCGGGAGTCGCAGGCCTCGCAGTTCGACACTCAACACCGAGTCGTGCTCTTTCTTACTCACGTATCCATGTCAGCTTTCTGTACTGCACTAGTTAGACTCCGGTACACAGGGATCACACTTTCGAATGAATGCCTAGATACCCTGCAGTGTCCGTAGGTGTTGAATCTGGAGATGACGTGGCACTTTTGATGCACGTGCTCATTAGCTTCCCAGTGTGGAAATAATGGGCGCTTGATGGGCGCCTCATCCATTATTTCGATACAATAGAAATAATGCTCGGTTCTGTCTCCTTATTGTGCCCTCCATTCAGGTCCGAGGGGTGGGTAAGCGGTCAATGGCCTGGCGGGCCTGCTCAGCGGCGTCTCGAGGGGACGTGCCATGGTCCTCCAGGCACCCATTATTTTCCCACTGGGAAAATGACACGCTAGGCAAGGCATATGGGATTCGATGGCTGCAACTCCCTTGGAAAGGGTGAGGCGATCGGTGTTCGTCTGCATTTCCTGGGCTCGCGTGGGCTCGTTCAACCTCCAAGAGTTCGAGTTGGGTTCTCTTCATTGATCTACTGGTTCAGCTCGCTGAAAGAGGCTCCTATTCGGTCCACCCCATTTTCGGCTGGTGCGCTCGTCATTTTCCCAATGGGAAATTAATGCGTGATTCACCTGCTCGCGTGATGCAAGCCAACTGGCCCCTCCCGCTATCTGCGTCACGATCCGTGATGCAGATGCGCTTATCGCGCGTTACCTCCAGTGGCAGGGGATCTGCTCTGTTGTCCTATACTTGTGCCCGACGTCGCCCCATCGTGCACCCGCACCCGCTCATTATTTTCACATTGGGAAAATAATGAGCCGTGGGACCTCTTTGCACGGTGCTGGCCTGAGCTGTGGTGCGACGCTCCTGTGGCAGGGTCCTCGTCCCTCCCTCTGTGCAGCGCTCGTGCGGCCTCCTTCGACCTCTGAATGGCTCGTTCTGAGGCCTTCTGGGGCGGTCGTGTGGCTCACAGGAGGGAGTCCTCTTGCGTCGCTCGCTGTGCGGTGGGCTCGCTCATTATTTTCCCATTGGGAAAACAAGGGCGTGATGCAAGTCGAAAGGGCCGTTTCTCGTTTCTGCATCACGCCTGTGATGCTTCCCGTATTTTAATAGGACAAGTAGAGCTAGGTTATCGAGACAGAACTTCCTCCTATAGAACTATCAACCTCATAACCTGTCGCACCACCTGTGACCGCTCACGATGACATTGTGAATCTATCTTCAAGCCTTGTGAGCGCCAGCCTACTCTTCACGAGTGGGGCACCATTAGAAGCCTCAATGTGTCATGTCAAGTGGAAGCCATGAGCAAGCTGAAAGGGACCATGGGCAATGGAACACCATTATTTCCCACTTGTCGAAATAACGATGATCTGTGATACATTTACGATCTACCCTCTGTCTGGTCTGAATTGCATTTGAGAAACTTTGAGTATATACAGGGCACAAGTAGAGCGAACTCAAAAACATCGTAATAATAGATCACTATCAATGCAGCTAAAGCACCGACGACATGAACTTCTTGCTTGCGCATAACACTGCGACACTACAAGTTATGAAAGGTAGCTGCATACCATAAGAAAAGAGCAGACATATTAGTTTCCTGCCCTGGAACTGGCTTCCCGCTGAGCCACGCGGTAAAGTCTCTGCGTGTCTCCCATTCAACGTCAAAATAAATCTCGGCGTCCACACGAAGATTGCTCGAACGGAAGATGCCATATGCTGTTGGACACAAGATATCAGGCCACTCGCACTCGCTCCCTTCAACAGAACGGAATGGTTTGTGGAGACGATCGTTGCATTGGGGAACATGGCAGGTAAAGCAGACCCCGCGATGGAGGTTACCGACGGCATACGTGATCTCTCTTTGGAATGCCTTGTAGTCGTTCCACACTGCGTGCATTGGGCCACAATGTCTGAGGTCGTGAGAGGTTCTGCCTTCGCCGATAATGCGGCAATATGCGCAAGGCTGACAGAGCATGGTTAGCGTATTCTTGAACCTCAAGACATATGACTCGAGGGCCTCGTCTTTGTCAAATCTGTCGCGTTTTGCACGAAGGACTTGCTCTGTGAATGGATCTACAGGTGGACCGGAAGGCGCTTTGCGCTTGTTTGTTCCTGGAATCTGACGGTCCTCGAGAACGGGAATGACAACGGTTGGCCAAGGATGATGAGAGGGGGGGCCTCCTAATGAATATTGCAAGGTGGCATTCATGCTCTTGACAAGAGAGCAACGTGAACAGAGTTCAGAATGTTCAACATCGCTGCAATAGGTACCTATGCCATCCGCATAGTGAGTAATGGCGAACCGCGAACAGTCTTCGCATGCCCAAAGGAAGTCCCACATAGCCCGAGCCCCTACATGGTCAGACAGGCCACCATCCGGAGCTTTGAAATGGGCCATGGGAATGCAATAGCACTTAGCTGGCCGTCCATCGCGACCTGCTCGAGATACCTCCTGAATATAGTTCATCATCTCTCGAGGCGATCCCATATGGAAGACAGCGCGGACGTGCTGATAGTCGTTTCCAGCTCCCAATGCCTGAGTTGCGATGAGGACTGGATGCTCCCCATTCCACCACCGATTGTAAATTGCTGTACGCTCTCGCGGGTCTCTCAGGTCTCCGTTATAAAAGTCACATCCTAAACGTTTCTTGAGGTCTTCACCAACGACTTTCAGTGGCACAAAGATCAGGAATCGGTCCTCTGGTTCACTGTCGTCGAGCATCGGGTTCAAGTAGCGCTCTAGTAGTGCGGCGGCGTCTCTGAACTTCTCCTGGCGTGGAAGACGTACGTACATAAGCTCGGAGCGATCGGTAAGGGTGCGCAAGGTGAGACGGCATGTAGGATGGAGGCCGAAGAGGTCGGAAAGGTACATCTCTGAACCTGGTGGTACAGATCCAGAAAGCAGCACAATTTGGACGCCTAAATGACGGAGACGTGGGAGATTGGTGAGGGCTCGACGATAGTCCTGCCCACTGAGAGGAATATGGGCCTCGTCAAAGAACAGACGGGAGACTGTGTGGGCGTCATTCAGATTTGTGATAGCTTGCTTCCACCGATCGGTGACTGCATAATCTGCTGAAACGAGGACAACATTGACGTCCTGCCGGAGAGACCTGGTGCTGCTGTCGTATTGATCGTATTGGACTCCCATGCCATCAAGGCGACGTCGATAGTCCATGATAAGAGAGTTGAGAGGGAGAACGAACACTGACACACTCTGGTCAAGTAGAGTAGGAATGAGCGCGACCATGGTCTTTCCTGATCCTGTTGCCATGATGATAAGAAGGTCGTTCTGACGAGCGAGGATGTGTTGAATCCCCAGCCATTGCTCGGGTGAGTTCCAGGTTGCTAATGGTTTCTTGGTTAGTTTTTGTAGAAGACGCAGAGCGTCCATCTCCCGCGTAGGATCCACTGTAAATACGAGCGTCAGCATCATTATTTGTACTGAATAGAAATAATGACTCTCTCTAAAGGACATACCTGAGGCAGGAATCGAGAAATCGACTTGGCTTCTCGCAATTGTACCACGAGAAGAGGAAAGAGCTTCCCGAGGCATTGGACCAGAGTGTGACTGTGGTCGGTCTTCATTGCCTATGCATGTCAGACGAGATACTGCGTTCATTATTTCTTCAGTATATAAATAATGATAAGAATACGCACGAGTAGCATGCATCTTGACATTTCCTGTGTTCATGGGCTCTAGAGAATGTCGTTTAAAATGAGACTTGTCAGACAAAACATTGACAAGCCTCTTGCCTCTGTCGGTGTAGAAGCTTGCAGGTAGATCGTTAGATGGCTGTGGGTCAACGCCCAGTATCAAACTCGCTGGCAGAGACAGTCAGCACATGGACTCTAAGCTGCTATAGTAAGCCACATACCAGTCATTTGCTCGGACATGTGTTCATTGTAAGGAGCATCCATATTAACATTATCGTCTTCCTCCGTCTGCAGGTCCTCCGATATCGGGGGATGAGCGCGTGCTGGTCGCGGTGGTGATACTATAGGACGCTGTAGATCTGAAACTGGGTAGAGAGGTCAGCTATCAGCGTTCGTACATGTGATATGCGCACTGACAGCTGCTACGGCCTGCGTCCTGACTGAGCGGCTTGGCTAGGGGAGTGCCATACACAGATCCCTGTCGGGGTATGAGGTTTGCTTGCTCAGACAGGGACAGCCGTCGAGGTAGAGGAGGACTCTTGAAGGTTGCCGTTGGTGCTGTGTCGTGTAATATGGCGCTATTTAATTTATGCGTATAATGCAATAAAGGATGGCGTACCTTGAGCAGTCTGCATAGCTTCCTTTACGGCTTGTTCAACCATCTCTTTCAACATGGGCCGCAGCATCACAATGAGCTCCTTCGAATGGGCAGAGAGCTTCTCTTCGAATGCCTCACTCACTTCCTTGACGAGTTTCTCAGTTCTTGCGTGTGGACCTGTAAAGTGCGACTTGATGCGCCCTTGCTGTGCGAGCTCTGGGAATCGTTCGGCAATCGCCTCGCGGTACGGTAATAGATGCCCTCCAGGTGTTATCTTGTTGGCGACTTGCCAGTCAGTACTTGCGTCAAGGAACAGTGGGAGTATATCTTCAGCCGGACCTACGAGACGATCTGTGCTGATGCCATATATTTTATTCTCCGTTCGGCGGGAGTGTCCTGCCTGTAGAGCACCGATTGTATCTTCGCTGTCCTTTTCCACAAGTTGTTCGAGTGCCGGGCATATCTTTCTTCGAAATGCGGTAGAGACGTGACGCCAATCGTGTACTCCAAGGGGGACATCGCATTCACGACGCGTGAACTTCTTCATGAGTTCGGTGAGCTGCTGGGTGGTGAACAGTTCCTTGTTGTTGATGAAAAGACAGCTGTTGTATCGACCTTGGATATTGTGATCGTCAGGATGGCAAATGTATGCAGCAAGCTCAGCAAACGGGCGAGCAATGGATAGATTCTGGATGATAAGATCGCTCGTAACAGCGTCTAGAGACTGGGGGATGATCTTGTCCTTGCCTGTTATCGATCCAGATTTGTGGTACTGGCGGACTAGGGCAAGATGATTTCCGATCATGTAGAGGCCCCGTTTCCGCGTACGTGTGTTCCGCGTCTCCACAGAGGTTAGTTCTGTGCCACGTCCCGGTGAACCAGACTTCATTTCGACGCTGCTGAGGATGAGACCGTCAAATAAGGAGTAGGTATACATCCACTGCTGCAGCCTTATGCGATTCCACCGAGGCGATCCATCCTCGTTGCTGTCATGGTGGATGAACTCAGCCCGGAGGGTGGGATCTCCAAGGATAGCGTTCATGAGGGTATCTCGCTTGGAAAAGCATTTGTTGCGGGCATCTGAGAGAAAGGAATACCCATATGAGGTATTCGAGAGATCGTCGGCCAGAGGGCCATACCGCACTGACAGTGTGAGTCCCATTAGAACACCTCCTTCCCACATCTCTATCGCGTCCTTCTCCATTCTGGAAAACATGGTGTGGAAGTCATCGAAAGACACTAGATCGCCATAGTACCTCATTGTTCTGAAGGTGTCTCTGTCTACCCATGCGATTCGCAGCATAGAGACCTCGTTGAAAATGAACCCCGCTGCAAGGTGCATGAGCGATCTCAGGGAGTTGAATGTCGACTCGCGCTTCTCCGTGAACCAGATCGCATACTTGTCACATGCAGCCTGAGGTGTAACCTTCTCGTTCACTCGGGTCGACTCGATGCTGTACAGGTAGACGAGACGCATGCAATATTCCAGATGGGCAATAAGATGGGTAGTGAGCTCGGGGTTTGCAAACGTGCCATCACTCTTCAAGGCCGAGAGAGCAAGAAAACACATCGTAGGATCACCAAGGGTGTTGGCTTCCGTTTTGCTCCACGTGCACGTCCAGAGGCGGTAGAGAAGACGGTAAACAGCATCTGATGTATGTGAGATGTCATCCGCATCGAGCGCGCTGGATAGTGTTGCCAGAGCGGCTTCGATGCTTTGAGGAAGGGGGATCTCATAGGTGCTCTTCGGACGCAGAAGCATAGCAAGAAGGCGTGCGCACGTGTTGCTATATTCCTCGAGCGTCTGATCCAGCTGGTGGCGCTTGAAGGGAGCATTGTTAATTCTGAGTGGTGGTCAGATACATACACCACGTCGAAATAGAAACAGTACTCACCCATCCTTCACCGGGTCGTTGGTGTTAAGCCTCTGGAGCACCAGAAGGTCGATGGTAGGGATCAAATCCCAGGCCGAATGAAAGAATAAAAGGAGCGCAGGCCGTAGGTTTGAGAGGTGATCCCGGGTGCGGGGCACACCGGCAACCAGCTCGCGCAGCTCCTCAATGTCGAACTCTTGAACGTGTTCATGCCACTGCGTAGCCAAGAGCCACGGACTGACCACACGAGCGTCGAGATTGGGTGGGCGGTATCCATAGACGGCTGCATCACGCTCCTCGCGGAGGCGCTTGATGATAGATTCGTTCGAGTTAAGCTGTGGGGGAGGGGATCGAGGAAACACCTCGAAGAGGGCTGAGTTATTGCCCTTGTTGAGCTGCTGCGCAGAGACGATCTCGAGAGTGCTGGTCTTTGGTGCGGATAGCGAGTGGTGGTTGCGATAGTAATGCGCTCGCATGCTGGTTGGTGCATAAATCTTATCGCAGGAAGGGCATTTGGCCCGTGCCAGAACAGCCAGCCCGTCGAGTTGTGGAATGGGTCCTTCGACGACTGGGAGACACGTTAAAAGCTCGTATTTTGCAGCGACACGTGCTAGCATCTCAGTAGATATCGACTTCCGGACATGCTTATGTTCCAGGTGTAAATGACTTGCAAGAGTTTTGTGCGTCAACGCAATCTGGCAGGACAGACAGATGCACGTCCGCAGTACAGGCTGGATGTAAATCCCTAAAGGCAGCAAGTCCGGGTCTTCAACAAGAGCATAATATTCGTCATCCGTGCGCTAGTAGGCAAGTTAGCATTGACACTATTATTCTCGGAATACGCATACCGTTCCCAGAAAATCAGCCTGACTCAATGATGGCGGATCTTTGTCTCCATCCTCTTCACTGAGTTGATCACTTTGCGAAAGCTACAGATCAACGTTGATTACACAGATGACACCCATGAAGACGCAGGAGCGTACCAGAACATTTGCGCGGATGTCAGAGTTAATGGGTATTTGGAGATGGCTTGTGCGTTCCTGGAGATTTCGTTCATGAGCTCATGTTATAGCCTATGGAGATGGTAGACTGAGAACCTGTCTGTCGATATCCATGGGCATTGGGTCCTCGACGGCCTATAGAAGAATTTAGGAACAGAATAAAGGGAAATCAGTATACAGATATTCCGTACCCCCTCACGACGCCAACTGGCTCCAGTGACTTGAGCGTGGACCTTGAGAGAGCGTGAAGTAGAGAAATACTGTGGACAGGTAGTCACAGTGCAGCAGCAGCGGAATCCACCCATCTCGCGGTTCACTACTATAATACACCCATTGTACAGCACATCCACTGAGGCAGAGCACGAGTCGATATGAGTTGAGAATGCCTGACGAGAATTGAAACCTGTATTGCACTCGAGACACGCGAAGAGAGGCATTGCAGAGAGAGTGAGAGGTGAGGGAGCGATCAAGCGATAAAAGAAGAGACCACACTGACTACAGACCCCTCTTGGACGGAACGCGAGACGTACATTAAAGGTAAATGAGACCCAAAGATACGAATCGAATCAGCGTGTCGTCTAAAAGTACTGCACATGCGCCAAGGAAGTAATCCGATTGTAATCGCCATCTATCAAGTTAGACAGATGAATTCCACGAGGAGAACATCAGGAGGAGGCACAGGGGAACATGTTTGAACGATCAAAAACGACACCAGGCACTCATGTAAGACGGACACTGACAGGAAAAGCAGACACGCTGCCTTATTACGAGCAGAGATTATCCTATTACGAGGCACAGGAACACGACCTGAGTTAGAGCCTTGAGCGAGCGTACTAAGATAGATAAAGACTGACTATGTTGTTGCTATGTAAAGATACTCGGACAGAGAGTGATAAAGAATGAACGCAGGATGAAATGCTGCTTGCGATCTCGTGAAACGAGCATCCCCAGTAAGGCAAATGTGGCGCAACAGCAATCACGTCGCGGAAGTAAAATGTGCGAGCACAGACCACATAGTGCACATAGAGTCAAAGGTGGACAGACACGGGGCATGCAGTGCAATTCGAAGACCATATATTAACGGCCCATAGCACGGAGATTTGCTCCGTATTACACCGATAGTGAGCAAGGTGTCAGAGGAGCAAAACGCACGAGGGCACACCTGCGGATAAATATTATTCGGGACTCGATATCTACTCAGAGTTTCTCTACATCGCCTCGGGGACTCCATTCTGACACGAAAGATGCCAAACATCACCTGCTCGTCTCACTTATTTGGATCCACACTACCGGGAACATTCGGAATACAACAAATGGTTGAAAGGCTACGTAAAAACATGACGACGACTACGCGATCCGGGCTTTCATGGGCAACACGGGGGGAGGGCTAAAACGCGAAGGCTTCTTCTGCGGGCCAACTTCGTCAGTCTCACTAGAAGACGGAATGATGACCTTACCCGCCATGGTCATGTCTCCCACACGGGCTTTCTTAGGAGGGGGACTTGAGGGCTTCTTCGAAGATGCGCGATGAGTGTCGTCGGGCAGCCCAGATGGCTCTCCAGCGGGCTCGCTGCCTGGGGAATCACCTGCACAGCATCAGAACGAGATCATGCCGAATGAACTCGAGGGAAACGACTCACGATGGGGACGTTTGTTCTTCCCTTTAACGGGCGTAGACGGAGTCGAGTGGCCTACGACGGTGTCATTAATTCATCGAGTCTGAGATAATGATCCACTCACCGTCAGAATTGTCATCGCCCACAGGATCGTCCTCTCCGGGAACCTCATCCGCGTTATACTGATCGTCCGCGATGTCTTGATCGGATTCGCGGGCCATTGTTATGCTGTTGGCCTCTGCATTGGGGTCTCCATGGTGTCTATGGTCGCCATCGTCGCCATCATCCTCTTCATCGCCGTCTCCCTCTGGCATGTCCACCTGCATGGCGTCTTCGTGCTCGAAATCAGGTTCTCCTTGAGATGGCAAAGGTAATCAGTCATTATTTCTAGAGAGAGGAAATAATGAGTACGCACCGCCGTTGGCCTCAGGAGAATGTGCGCGTATGGCCAACGTTTCGGCCTCAGAGTTCGCGCGTGTGGATGCACGGGTGGAAGACTTCTTGCGGGCCGCCTGAGTCACCTCTTGCTTGAGCTTCCTTGTTGCGGCTCGACTGAGTTTCGCTAGAGTCGGTTGGGCATTTTCTATGAGCTTTAATCCCTCTCTTGTGGTGGCGGCTGTGTTGTGATTGTCGACTTCCACTGCGGACGCGATCGAGGACGCCATTTCGATTTGGAGAGTGTCAGCGAGATAGCGACTGACGACGTCTGGGCGGATGACATCAGTAGCCCTGAACTTGCCATCGAACTTGTGGCGGCGGCGAAGAGTGGCCTTCACGAGCTCCTGTATACAAACATAAATTAGATGAGAAAGGAGTTGAGAGAAGCACGTACATTCACGAAATTTGTGTATGCGGTTTCCATGTCCTGGGCCAGCAACAGCACCTCGTCATCGGCGCCTTCAGATCCTGGGCGAATACAGGGCACACCGATGTGGGCAAGAGTCGCTGTTGAGACCGCTATGATGGTCTTCGCTGCCTGCATGTCTATCTTTCTCCCCTCTGCGAGCATCGTGTCTTGAACGAGGATCGATTTCGACTTGTCGAAAATCTGGTGCACATTGGACTTGCGTTCCTTTCCGTCGATGAACATCCATGCGCGAGTTTCAGGGGTGCTGTCATCAGGATAAAAGAAGAAACTGAACGTCTTGAAAGCGTCGAAGATGAGATCTTCGCCGAGAATGAACTGCATGTGGGGGATATTGTCGACGGCCTGTAAGCCAAAGCGGGCGAGCGGATAAAGGCTGTTGTTAATGCTGTTGGGGAGCATGTAGCCCCAATTAATCGAGCTGTGCTGGAGGACTTCGAAGATCTGCTTGTAGAGCGTTCTCTGTGTCGAGCTAAGCGTCTTCTCTTGTTCGGGCGATTTAGTGAGCGATTCACGGCATGGAGGGTAGAAGGAAGTGAGGAGGTGCTTTGGGTTGCGTGCATCGAAAAACGCGTTCCCTTTCTTGTACTTGTGCGTCTTCATCGCATGAACCTCTCGTGTTTCCTGTCCCTTGACCCACCCGCGCAGACGGCTTGCAATGCACCACGCAAAAGATTCGATCGGATTCGTGTTCATGACAGGGACGGCTGTAGCAGCGTACTTGTTCTTTGGATTGGCGAGGAAGGAGGTGCACGCAAGCAATGTCTTGGGTCGGACGCCGCTAATGAACTGCTTCGCAACACTGCATATTGCGGGCAGAATGGTCTTCCGGCCTCCGAAGACGAACGCCCACGCATATTCAGCCTGGAGGAGAAGGTCGTCCCGAACATCCGAGGTGAGCTGTCGCGGGTGTGTTAGGCCCTTGTTTCCGTTTGAATTAAAATACGCAAAGCGCGCGTGTTCGTCTAGGCGAGTAGCAAAACGGGGTATTCCACCGTGGTGACCGCTGTAGGCAACCTGGAGAGGATCCAGGAGCTGCAGAAGCTATGGGCGATGTGTCAGTACCATTATCTCTAGAGCGAGGAAATAATGAAGCAGGAACCCGGGACGGAGAGGTCATTATATATACGACGAGGAAATAATGACGCCGTCACTGAGTGAATGGCAGATGGGATGACAGAAGCTCCATAAATGAGTTGAAGAAACATAGTACGCACCATGTGTCCGTCTGCTTCTTGCTGGTGCATGGAATGCCCAATATCGCTGTGGAGGTCGGGTGTGAAAAGTGGAACAGGCGTCTTCAGGGATCGAATGTGGCGCATGCCAATACGTGCGGTGGGATGGAAAAGGGTCTCGAGACGCCCGACAAGTCCTTCGAGACGCCGGTTGATCTCCTTGTCCTCATCGGAAAGCGGCTGGTTCTCCTGTGCGGGTTCGCGTTCAGCCATCGCCACCCAATCTTCGACCTTCTTGATAACCTCATCCTGGTACCCTGTCATCGCCTCTGTCCAGTCGTACTCCATATCCTCCCCGTCCGTTTCGACACTGAGCTCTACTGACGTCCCAAAAGAAATGAAGTCGGGGGCAAGAAACTTCTCGTACGCTTCGGTCAAGATAGCGCCGAAGCTGAAGTCAAGCATGGAAGGGAGATACTTCCAGTCCTTAGAGTCCTCGTAGGTAAACATCTTTGCAGCGGGGTTCCGGGCGTCAATGTCCTTCAAGACGGGGAGAGATGGTACGAGGTCGGGATCACCAGTCATATAGCGAAATGTAAGGGTACCCCATTGAACGAAGGGGCGTGTAAACTGAGGGCCATGAATACGTTATACGAGAGGAGAGCAAACGAGACGCACCGACTCGGCGAACTTTCGGCGTTCGTACAATTCTTTAAACGCTGGGAATTTGGGGTCATCGAAGACCTTGAACTCCGTCAGATCGGCGTACGCCCGCAGGAGGGCAATGTCTTCAAAGAGCGCCTTCATCTGCGAGTTCTCCTGTTTGCCCCCTTTCGGTATGAGAAGGTCCTTGAGCTGCGACCTAGCCTGGACGTCCGTATTCTCGCGTACAGTTTTAATGCCGAGAACGAAGGTATCTTGAACGCGGTCCGCATTCTGGATCACAGGGTGGTTGGCGGACCAGGTGTTCTGGAGATGCTGTTTGAGGTAATGCGCCTCTACAGCGTCTGCAATGACACAGTGAGATTTCAATGCCAAGGGTGTAGAAGATATAGTAATGAGCCTACCGTTGTCCACAAAAAGAGCACCCCACGATGCCTGTGTCTGCAATATATCGAGACTGACGATGCGGAGGCCCCGATATGCTTCCATTGCCTGTGAGTTCTGCCCTTTCGTCGTCCCCTGGGCTATCGCACGGTTGGCCTCCTCGAGGTTCTTGATAGGAATGATGTGTATTTTCTTGTTGGCCGCCTCACGATGGTGTCCTTGGATGACGAGGACAAGGCCCACATCCTTGATAAACTCGACCGCAGGGAAGTTGTTGGACCCCTTCTTCGCAAGCTTTGCGGTGTTGATGACGTCCTTGGTGGTCGCGATGATTATTAGATGCTCCGGGCTGGTCTTCTGGAGTAGTTTCCCGTTGTCGACCATCGAGAGCATGTTATTCACATTGGCAGCAGAGGTCGGGCGAGGGTTCCAGAGTTTCCGTTGCCACGCGGGCCTGTCTCGGTCACCACACCATTCTTATCCCTCTCAAGATGTCTACCTACACCGAGCGTGATCAGTCCTTGCCCTAAGATCATTGAGTCCATGAGCTCCCGGAGCTCGTCCACCTTCATGCGCTCGGCGTTCTGGTCTTCTGCCTTGCTTGTCATCTCCTCAACCTCGGCGGCCAACTTCTCAGTCTGTGAAATAGCTAGTCAGTGGGCAGCACCGACAGCGCAAGAGTTACTCACGATCTTTCCTTCCCTCACGGTACGTTTCTCCTCTCTCTCCTTCTTCTGTGCTTCTCTCTCCTTCGCTTTCTGGACCAATGATCGTCATTATTTCATCCTGGTAGAAATAATGATGCTAGGAACGCACTTTCTCCTTCTCGGCCGCCAGTTCCTCCGGGGTCTTCCCTGTTTCGCCGGATCGTGTAGCTGGACGAGGGCGTGTCTGATGTTAGAATAGTCGTTAGTATGACTCTCGTGGTCTAATGAGCTCGAGAACTCACCGGGGCATTGGAGGTAGAGGCTTCGGCGTCGGTGGCATTGGGTGTACCTGCGGCAGGAGGAGGCTAGCACATGTATGCGTATCAGTGCGTGGTCTGCACGGCGTGATCGAACACTGACCTTGGACTTTGAAGCTGCCTTGTCGCGCGCCGACTTGGCCTAAGGGAGTCGTTTATCCATGTGATCACCTGACAGAGAGAACGGTGGAACGTACTGCGCCGACGTTTTTGGTTTTCTTCACAGCCTAGCGTCGAAGATGTCCATGTGTCAGGTGAGTCGTGCTATTCCCAAGTACATAACAACATCTTACCTTCGGCGGTGGACCCGCATCGTCCTCAGGTGTGTCCTGTGAACGTTAAAATCAGCGCGCATGAGCGTCCTTCACGTTTCGGCGCTTACCTGTGTGTAGAAACAGCAGTGTGCGTTAGTTCGATCTTCGTGTTAGTGGGAGGGGACTCACGGTCATGATTCGGTGCTGTCTGCGGTTTCTGTGTTGTGGGGAGGAAGTATTGGGCAAGTGAACGATTGGAATAGCACACGGAGGACTTATATCGAGCCTCATGTCTTCGGTGCGTGCTCTTCATCTCGGTAATCCTTGCTATGACAGGAGCCATTTTACAGCCCGTCTACGTTCATTTTAGGCCTCCTGTGGTGATCTGCCATTCAGGACATGCTGAATGCAGCTCGCAACTTTCGTTTGTGCCGTCTTCGAGGCCTTCGTTCGCCGGGTAGATGCTGTGTGTGGCGCGATCAGCTGAGTCCCTTTATTTCCGTTTTGAGACTCGCCAAGTTTGCTTATCCCCGTTCTTCGCTATGCCGATGGGTTTCGAGGCATCTCCTCTCACCTAGCCCAATCTCTGGTAGACGTGTTTTCAGCGTGATTGTCGCAGATCATTGCGGCGATAAGAGTCGTACATGGGTATGACTCACACAAGGTGGTCCCCCGTTCCCTCTTCAAGGCTCTTACCTCCACTCGATCAAATCTCGTCCCTGCAGTGGAGGCGTTGCAGGCGTCCTCATGCTTTCATTCACCAGCTTTTGGTTCGTTTTCACCCAGTTTCCTGTGCTGCATTCGGCATCTTCGTGGATCGCACTGGCCTTGTCTCTGCCTCTTCTCTGGTCTCTGCGTTCATGCGCGGGCACGAGTGTCTCGATTCCGCCTCGGCGATCTCTTTCATATCGGGTCTGTCTTGCCACCTGTCGACACTTTCGTGTTGTCCTTGTCTCTTTCATGTTGGACGACTCTGTTCCAGCCCAGTCGCGTAAGTTTGTCAAGTCGAACTATGGAGTCATGTTTGGGCATGCCGTGCGTGGATGTCTACATCTGTGGGTGTGTGCTCTCTCATGTTATTTCACAGCAGAGTTGCTGGCCATGGACGCATCATGGCACCTTCTCGTTCGGTTCTTGATCGCACGCGGCAATTGTTTCGCACTTGCGTTCGTTCCTGCCGGAAGGTGAGCCTTGGCTCCGTCTCTACTTCTGCAGCTGACCTGCGCTTATTTCTTGCTCCTCTGATTCAACCCTCCTGTGAGATCGCGTATAAGTAGGCCCTCTGTCCGAGTATTGCAAACCATCGTGATTGCGCCATTCACCCTCATTACACCTCGCCTGGTCAAAGATCCCGGCAATTCTTCACCGCCCCAACGAAGGGTAGAAATGTGTTCCTGTGGGTCTGCGATCACTCCGTAGAAAGGTTCCTTTCACGTCTGTTGCTGCAAAAGTACGTCGTTCATGCTTTAGAGTCATTATCCGTCGCTCACTGCATGTATTGCACCACCTGTAGACCATGGTCGGTGGCTCTCAGGTACAATCTTCGTGATGTTTGCCCCTATGGAACTTCTGACCTCACAATGCTTCATGCGCCGCTGTACCAGGGGACTTCTCACTATAGCTCCTATGGTGCGACAGATCGTCCTTCTTTGAGTGCTGCTTTCGTGTCGACTTGGAGGCTCACCCCGTCATTCAGTCTCTCCATGTGCTGTCGATCCTTAGCGCCGTTCAACGGGGGAACTCTTCTCTGTGGCAATTGGCACCATTTTTGTGTGGGTGCCAATGTCGCCCAAACATTCACGTGGAATATGGTTGTATTCCAAGTCCCAAGGTGAGCGTTTAACACCTCAGTGAGCTTTCATTCCTGGAACTCATTAGACCTCTCTGGCTTCATATTGTGTCGGGTCAGATCGGTTGATCATCTCACCCACCAGGTCCGACTCTCCGGTGAGAGCTCTTTCTCTTTCCCTGTTATCTCTATCCGAAAGGGAAGGAGAGGGGAAGGGGACGGGGGATAACATCTGGTGAGTGTCTGTGCATCTTCTCTCTGGAGAAGACTGAGGATATTGGCTAACGTCCTTGTCTCCGACCTCTACTGTCCTCGAGCCCAATGCTTCCCCAGCGTAAGAACTCACTCTTGCATGGGCGATACTGCGGTCTCACCCTCATTATTTCCTTCACGCAGATATAATGATGGTCATACCTTCTCTCAGAGGCCGTGTCGTCGTCTTGGCCTATTTGTAAACAACACGTCAGTGTAGATCTGTTTCTCGTACTGGGTATGTAGATTTTATGTTTCTGTGTACAGAATGCAGTACGCATAGGCATTAAATACACAGCCTCTGCTCTTTGTCATCGTCACCCGAGAATGGGCGTTTGACCTTACTCTCCGACGGTGCACATGTGGGTGTGTTGTGTAGGTTGAGATTTGTGCGTATCCCCACCAGAATGGCAGGCTCAGTGGATGCTCGACAGGCACGAACGACGGCTGCTTCTTCAAGCGAGGCTTGTGGACAAGGACAGCTGTGCATCAGCTGTCAGCATGTGCGTGTCCGTCCCTGGCCATCCATCGTCATTATTTATAGTCTACAGAGATAATGACGGCCTGTGTGTTCATCGGCAGGAGGGCAGCGGGGCATCTTCTTTCGGGCTGGGCGTGTTTCATCTCATTAGGGCGTCTTACATCCTGCGACCACCATTGAGAATGGGGGTCGACAAGCCCCTTTGGCGTGTTACAGGCCGGTGGATGGCCTCGGGAAGGGGTCGACAGGCCTCTTCGGCGTGTTACAGGCCAGTGGATGGCCTTGGGAGGGGGGGCAGGTCATTATCCTCTGTTACACAGATAAACGCCCTGGAGCTCTGTGCGCGTCATTATTTCTGGCAACCAGAGATAATGGCACTCAGGGGACCTCGCGGAGGCATTTTGGGCCCAAAACGTAACACGGCCGTGTTACAAAAAGTATATTAATAGGACGGCTATGGTCACTGTACATTTCCGACGACGATTACGGATGTTAG